ATTATGGAATAAACTTAATCAATGTCAATGTTCTTACTAGAGTTTGGATTGGATAATATTCTAAACAAGTTACAGATTAATTATATTTCATGTACAGTTATAACTACCGGATTTACATAATGAGTTCCCCCTGAAACGAAAACTTACTTAACTAGAGACACAAAGAATTCTAATCGTATGTTCTTTATAAAGAAATGAATACCCGGAATATGGTTATTCTTTTTTGATTCGCAGAACTTTTGTTTAAGAACAGATTTACAGACTTAAAGAAATATGTTAAGTAGCATATTCAATCTCAAAATAATGTTCTTTTAACATACAGCAAAAAAAACAAAAAAAAAAAAAAAAAAAAACAAAAACAAATACAAAAAAACAAAGATCGATTGATTTAAGACGACTGGCAGCATTACGCTTATGTAATATTCCAAGAATATTTCCAGATGTAAGAAACAACACACAATAAATTTTGCTGAAATAGCTGCCTTTATCAAAGCTACTGGACTTTTTCTTAGACACACCTATGGACTGCAGATACCTCTATGAAAAAGATGTTATAGTGTCTGGTATTTATATTATTTGTCCATGGAAAAGAGGGGAGACAAACTTACGTTGTGTTCAAGTCTACTGTGATATGGAAACAGATAGCGGGGGATGGACAGTACGGATGACTTAGTGAATGATTAATTGTTGTTCAACGTCTTTTCCGAGATTATTATTTTTTCACTCACTAGATGGCGGTAAAGGTCTTTAAATTCAACCCTCTACTTGGTACTTAGAGCCAATAAATTGTTATGTTTTTAGCGTGCAAATAGCTACTTAATCAGTAAGACAAGGCTTCGATTTTAAGGTCTCTATCGAAATACCCACAAACACACGCGGAGTACTCTAAAAGTAACATCAAACAGAGTTATACGTCGTTACGTAGCTACGTAGGCAACTTATGATGTACAATATAAACTAAATATTTTATCCAATCAAATGACGTGTTACAAGGAAATTTAAATTGTTCAAATATACCGACGATGTTTTATCAATTTCAATAGTTATTTTAATTCTTTACCTTTTACATTTATAACCTTTCAATTTGAAGATCAATTTTTTTACAATAAAAAATATCTACGAAGGTGATACAAAGAAGACAGTCCGTTGATGTGAACTTTAAACGAAATTGGGAAGAATATAAGATGGGCTATGGAGATGTTTCTACAAGCTACTGGATTGGTAAAAAATAAAATAATAATAAATCAAAGACACCTACCATGAACAAAAATTGCAGTTTATGCTTTGTGAAGGTCAATTTTATGTGCAAAAAATTTAAATACAATTTTGAATGTACAAAAACGCGGACAATATTACTCCTATCATTTGCCAATTTATGTATCTGTAAACGTTGTACGATTTCAATCTCAATGAAAATGTCTTGCCATAAAATTGCTGTAATTTAACATATTAAGCTATCCGGATGCAGAGATAACAAAAAAGGAAAATAAGAAACCTGGGATCTGCATCTTTAATGTATTTAGTGGATGATTTCTTATCCCAAAAAGACTCTCTCAGAGAAAAAAAAAGTGAAAAAAAGTTGCTTAAATCTAGTTTTATCGGTTGAGCGCAGTAAAAGTGTGCCTCAAATTCTACGCGTTTTTTTTTTTAACTCATTGAAGTATCTTAAATTGTCAGACATACATGTACGAGAAAACGAAGGTAAAACAAACAGACAGAAAACTAGGGTAAAATTTATTACAAACTTTGCTGGCAGAGAAGTTTTTCCCAGAACGATTTGATCTTATCATAGATGCATAAAAATTACTATTTGATCTAATTATAAATGCTTAAAAATTATTTTTTGTTTTTTTTACAATTGATAAATATAGCACACAATTAAACTTTAAAAATGACGTTGTTGGATGTATAGAATCGGTAAAGACAGTTTTGTGAACTTTGATTGTGTTATTCTTACATTTTCTCTTATGTGTCATCGTCAATAGTATTTATTATATAATATAATTCATTATTTGAAATCAAAAACCTTGTAAACTAAAATATTTCATTTTACAGGAAATGACATCATACACCAATTAACAAAAGAAAGAAGAAGTTCTCTTTACATGGAGATTACTCTCTTCAACGAAACAGTCCTGTATATAAAATATGAATTTTTCTTCATCACCGATGAAAAGACTGATTATAGACTGAATATTAGAGGAAAAGCAAATGGGACTTTGGGTTTGTAATAACTTTCTTCATCTGAAATACAACCATCTCTTAATTACAATTTCCAATATGCATAGTTAATTTCATTTTCTTCGAACATTCTTTTTTTATTTCGAAACTTTCGGTTTATCTAACTTGAATAAGAAAACATATTTCGTCACCCGCCACAGTTCCATTCGATTGCCATAATCCAAAGCTGAAATGATTTATACTGCTGGACTCTATGTAATCTATCTTCAGAAGTTCACATATGTGTGCCAGATTAGTTACAAAACTGTTTATGGGGACTCAAATGTGTGCATCAGTGAAATTCCTAAATTTAAGTGGGACTTATCCAACTTAATTTTAGCATAGATGTAAAACGTGACGCTGTTTTAGACACTTTGACGTTATCGTCCGTGCGCCGTAAGGCGATACAATTCATCACATAAAATCTCATAATTTGTTTATTTATCCATATATCTATTTGAAATTTGTTATATTAATAAAATGAGTACTAAAGAGTACTTGAGATTTTACAACCCGCTGATGTTTAATTTTCGCACTAGACAACTTAAGTTCTTGACTTCAAAATTATCATTTGGGAGCTTATAGGATAAAATAAATTCTGTCTTTTCTGCAGATTATGTTTCAGAAAGGATGGGCTTTTTATTTTATTTATCTAATATTTATTATTTTTTCTTTTTTACATTTTTTCCTATCCTTAAAAAGACCAATATTTGTATTTCAAATATACCTTGATATTTGGCATTGCAGATTGATTGATTTTTAAAAATTTACCAAAATTAAACCTTGAGCATAAGTCTGTGTTTTCCCCGGGCTCTCCATGAGTATAAATATTTTTGAACCTTTGACCTTAGAGTATGACCATGCAACTTTTAAATTTAAACGTTGAACAACTTTAACCTGTGCCATAACTTCTAAATAGTTTGTGGTAGAAATTTTATACTTTACATATGTTTGTCTTATGACAAAGCCTTCTCCTGGGCACTATTAATGTGACCCTTTAGCCATGAAGATTGACCCCCTTTTAGAAAACTTTGAGCTTGCCCATACCTTTTCATTGTTTGATGGGCTCTTATATTTCAAAGGAATACTGTAAATTTATTACATTTGACGTGTACGATATTTTGTGGAAATTTTACTGAATTTTTTAGCTATAAAAGCTAATATACAAGACATTTTGCGATGGACTTGAATTATCAGATTCAGCTTTCCGTCAAAATCGCTAAATAGAATACATCGCTAAATGTAATACGTTTACAGTATTCAATGAGACAAGATCTTATTATCTTCCATAATTTCAAATGTGACCATACTGAGTTCAAGTCGGGTTTAAACTAATGGCGAATCAATCCCAGCAAAAAAAAATAAAAATGGATGCGGAAAAAATTACAAGTCCCAATTTTTCCACTATATACTCTTAAAGGGGCATAGACACAGTTTCAGCAAAAATAATTTCTAATTTTCAATGTTTACAAATACTCAACTAAGGTTTTTCTTATAAACATTGAAAAAAAAAATTGAATTTTACTTTTCAAGATACAAGACAAATTTACAGCTCTAATCCTTTGTTATGTAAACAAGGCCTCTGCCATGTTTTTGTTTACATAGGGTAAATATACAAATATATGTTTGCTCAAAGCAGAATTTTCAACAGAGAAGTTAACTATAAATACGATTAGACAGTTTCTAGTGATTTACTGAATTTCGTTTTGGTGAAAATATATTTCATATATGTCAGCAAAAGCAAGACATTTGTTTACATCATGAAGTATTTTAAATTATGTATCTTATTCGTAAATCAACAAATGATGTACATATTTTTGCTGATCATTAGAATTACCTTATTAAGGAATTGCAAACATTAAAATTAGTTTTAAAAACTTTATTTGAAACTCTGTCCATAAAATGAAAATTTTAAAAACATATATTACATCAACCAAATAAGTAATATAAAATAAATGTCAAAATGTGTTAAAGATACCAGTGATCAAAAATATTTTAGAAAATTAACAAAAATTCCCGTTTTGAAAAATTTAAAATGGAAAATTAAGGAATCCATTTTAACTACAGGGAGTATAGATCAATCGTGTATTTTTTTTTTTATTTAAAATACTATTGACACTAAAATGTTGTTTTGAAAAATATCATCTTTGGAAAGTAAACCCGGAATATGTTGGATTCTCATATGTATAATTAAAACCTATAGCTATATATTCGAAATTTTGCTTTAAAACGGAGATTCATTATAACCATTGAGACTCTGCAAATCTTACATGAGATAATATATTAAATTTGTTTGCCGGAAAAGCGAGAAAAATTCGAAAGCTGTGCGAATTTGACAAACAAGTAACACAATACTACGGACCATGAACCTTCGAGATACAAGAAGAGGCATTTAATTCTAATGTCATTTCAATACCATTTTTAATCAAAAATGCAAGTACAGATATTCAGTAAGGTATCTCAGTCTGGAAGTGGGTTGCGAAGGAATATACTCTAAAGACAGGCCTCACCTGAGCATTTTTCTGATTAATGCTATGCGCAAGTAAGAACTGACTACTGACTACCTTGTGGAGGTATTTGTTGATTTGTTTTATTTAAACAGGACCATTGACTAAGGGTACAGATATAAAGTGGCAATCTCTTGTCAAATATGTTTGTTTAATGTATGAAATAAAATTACTTTCGCATTGATGCTTATATATTTTTGTGAAAATTTGACCACAAAAATAGATTTATTCTCTTTTGAGATATCTTTCTCTAGCCCTAAACGCATGTATTCAATTTATAGTGTGAATTATTATGACCTATATGCACTATCACAAAAAGAAAACATTTTTTCATCCTTCGTCATTTACTGATAAGGATTTGATGAGTTATAAGTGGAATTTTTAGATAAAAAATTTGATTTGTTCAGGGTTAGCGCATTAATATTTTTTTAAAGACCAGCTTATAGGAAGTGTGGATTTCAAAATCGTGATGGAGAGGAATAGATATTTATTAGGGTATTTCGTATGTAAGTAGGCTTCTATTCATATTTTTTTCTTTTCTTAAAAAATCTTTGTTCTCACTGATTGTATCTATTTACTCTGAACGTTTGTACATTAAGTTTTATTATTCTTATATCAATGGGTCTTTTGTACACATATAGATTAATTGTATTCAGCTTAATTTAAGACGTCTTATATATAGACAAATTAAAAATGAGTTCGATCTTTAAATTTAAATTTATCGCTGAATTTTAAGAAAATGTACCATTTGTAATTTTGAAAGTTTTGGTGATAAATTTCATTTTGAAATTTCATTTTGAAATTTTGAATTGAAAGATTATTATTTCGATTTCTATTTTTTTTCTCTGTGTCAACTCTTTGAAGCTAGCTGAGTTGATATCTTGACAATTCTACCGGAGTGTAAAGGCAGGTTGATAGGTCAGGAGCTAATGAGGCCTAAAATGCCTAATATGCATGCAAATCTCGTGCGCATCTGTCTCTATGTCTGACGCTAAGGATGCCAAATATGCTTTAAATCTTATGCAGCTGCTTTGTGATTGACTTTAGTGGGCGAGGACTATTAAAACTGGCATGGAAGTCCCTTTCCGATCGCCATTAGATTTTCCTTTGTACAAGCGTAGAATTCCTGTAGAATTCGTAGTAACCCATAATGCAATTCTCATTTAGCTGAGTTGTCAGTTTAAATCATGTCGGTAACATAACATTTCTGTTTACCGTGTCTCCACGTGCTAGGCACTTCCTAGCCACATTTCCGTGAATAATTTACCCTATCTCGCTGTAGTTGCGCTAATTCTCGCCAGAGCCACTGTCAGAGCTACTCTTAACTCATCAGGTTTTAAAATTGGTAGAGCACTGTAAAATAAAAGGTTCCGTACACATATGTAGGGATGTAAGAGTTAACAAAACACATGTATCGGTCGAACACGAGCTTACTTGGTGTTTATTAAGACCATATATTTGATTGGCTATTATATTTATGCAATACCATTTTTACAGGTATTAAATAAAATAAAACCATTTGAGAAATTCTTTCCTTTCTAAAAATGGGCTTCATTATATGATAATCATTTCAAAAGATAGCTCAAAACGTTTCATCCAAACTGAATATCTCACCAGTTTAATGCTCTTCACTCAATAAATGCTTTTTTTTCTTTATATATACTCGTTTAATTTTGATCGTTGATTGTTATTTTTTTTGTATGAAGACTACATTGATGGTATTTTAGCAACATGAATGCATGAATTGCAATGAAAATGTTTACTTCCTTTGCAGACAGTACCTTGGTCATGTTATCAAAATCATGTCAAACAACACCTCATAAAGATCAATGTGGAAACATGGGAATCCTATGGAACTGTAGTGGTCTTAATATAGACAGACTACCAAATGAAATACCCAGTCAATTACATGGCCGCAATGTCACCTTGGATTTGTCCTTCAATAGATTTTCTACACTAAACAATGCTACATTTGAAAATTTGACAGATGTGTCGGTTGTGACATCCATGATTCTCAATCACAATTACATTACAAAGATAGAAAACGAAACCTTTTATGAATTTACAGACTTGTGTAGTTTGGACATTTCATATTGTCACCTTACGAACAATTGCATAGAAGCAGGTGCCTTCTCTCGATTATCAATCAAGTACCTAAACATTGATCATAATAATTTTAAAAATGAACACATGTACCCGGATGTTGCACTTTCTGCACTTCAGTCTTTGCGTAGCCTGGATATAGACATTTTTGAAAATTTTGAATTTACAACACCATTTGAAAACCTAACAAATTTGTCTGACATAAAGTTTAATATTCAAAGTGATTTCACTTTATCAAATACATCATTTTTAGGACTCAAAAGCTCTAAAATCCGACAACTTAATCTCAATTTTGCAAATTATGTGTATTGTGACGTTACCGAAGATCTGTTTTGTTCCTTTCCCTTTCTTACAGATGTTTTCATTAATTTCGGCGGGAAATGTGACGTGACTTCAGCATTACGCTCTCTTAAATGTCTTCAACATCGAAATATAAATAACATTACACTTTATAAAAACAAGAAGAAAATTGAAACAAGTGTGATTATTCTAAATGATACTTTACTTGAGAACGTTGTCAATATCTGCATTCGAAAATTGTTTTTGATTGAAAACAGCATTGCATCTATAACAAAGAATATTCATAACACAACATTATGGAACTGTTTAGAGGAATTGGATCTAAGCAAAAACGATTTGCATGTTATGGATTTTTCAGTAGCTGAAACCTGGTTCTCTGCACCTAAATTGAAATATCTGAATTATTGCTGCAACGATCCGTATTGTCCAAAGAACAGCATTGCTGATGATGAAGTACAATACACATATCGAGGTGGTGTATATATCACTCTAACTTTACCAGAGACACTAGAGGTACTTGATATCTCAAACAATCGCTTACACAACGTGGAAGAAAAAAATCGTTATAAAATTGTTGGCGAAAGTTTGAGGATATTTAACATCCGGGCAACTAATTTTCCACTGGGAAACGTCTATCAATTCGATTTTCCGTCGTTAAAGACTCTTGATCTATCAGGTAATAAATTTGTTGATGTTCACGCCGATTTATTCCAGTCTTCTTTAGGTATTCAAAATTTATCTCTCAACGATGTTGACTTCAAGTTTTCTACTCTAAATTCTGAAAATATATTCAGGAATATGAAAAATCTCTCTCACCTATATTTTTCAGAAAACAATTTGAATTTACTTCCAACAACTTTTTTCATTGACCAGAAAGAATCTTTGAAAGAAATAAATCTTGATCACAACCGATTTTTTAATATTCCGGACTCATTAATGTATTTGCAAAATTTGAAAAAGATATCTTTACGAAACAATTTGATATCTGAGTTTTCTAAAAATGATCAAAAAATTTTTGAAACTCTAAACAATGTATCACTCTATTTGGAAGGGAATCCAATTTCTTGTATTTGTTCAAGTTTGAAATCTCTAATCTGGATCAAAAATAACAAGCATCTCTTTGCTGATTTGAGTAGAATCTCATGTGCAGGAAGTAGAAATTTAATTACTCACTTACTTAATAATGATCAAATCTGGAGAAAATATCAACTAGAATGTCAAACAGAAACCTGGCTCATCGTCTCTGTGGTATTTATCGTGTTGACGTCAACTATACTTCTGATATCCTTTACTGTGCAGAAATACCTAGTACATGTCGAATATGTCATATTAAGACTTAAAAATAGATGCAAAGATGTGCGTCTCGGATTCAGAAAAAATAATTATATCTATGACGTTTTTGTGTCGTATGGTGAGGAAGACTATGCCTGGATTATTCGTTATCTTCATCCAAAATTAGAAAGCTTAAATATAAAGGTGTGGCTTAAGGACAAAGATTCTATTCCAGGAGAATGGGAGGCAGAAGAAATAGTTAAATGTATAAATGAAAGTCGAAAAGTGTTGTTTGTGATCACTGAATGTTTTCTGGAGAGTGGTTGGGCCTCCTACGCTGTCCAGATGGCGGTTACTCACGCCTTCCATAACCAGCGTCAGAGTTCCATTGTTGTCATCATCAAAGACGATATACCATTAGAGAGACTCCCAAACGATATCAAAAATATATGGTGGTGCATTGAATATTTAAGGTGGTCCATAGAAGATGAAAATAATGATTCGATAATGTTTAAGTTATCAAGTTTGCTAAAACCTGTTGCTGCATAAATACCAACATTAGATTGATATAATATAGTTGTAGATATACGAATTAAGACATGTACATACTAAAGTATATAACAATTTTTTTTTATAATTTTATTTTTTTGTAAGAGTTTAATAACAAAATGAAATTGATAAACATGAACTGTGTCTAACAAAACACATGATGTTTAAATGAGAAAAGCAAATGAAATGTTGGATTGAGAGAACCGTTGAAAAATTCAAATGAAAGATACAATGCTTTATGTTAATTTTCGGTTACTTTTTCTACTATGACTTTGTGAAAATGTTGTACTCTTGACCTATAAAAAACAGATTCTGCAAATCTGTAAATTTTTGTATATGACTAATGGTATGATGGCAGCAATTTTTGCATTTTATTTTAATGTCTCTTCAAATAGTTTAAGTGTGTAAATCTGACTCTGACTTTAATTTAAATCCTATAGTATTTTGCAAACTTCTGAAAGATAAATATGAAGTTTACATGAACTTTAAATCTGATGTTTTCGATTTCAGATTTCTAATTTCTCATCAAGGCCATCAATAATGATAAGATTGTTTACATCATACGTGTACCCTAAGCTATGTTGGGAGTAAATAGATTGTACCTAGCTATAGCTACATGTGTGTAAATGGTTGCATATTGCACATGTATAAACATTGTATTTAGAAAAGAATTAGATATATAATGTATATTAGATTTAATAACCTTAAGATAATCTTATATTTAAAAAAAATCATTCTTCATTTATCTAAAATTAAAATAAAGTTTAGGCTTGGGTTAATACATTTGTAATACATGATCAGCACGTTCAGGTCCCTGCGGACAAAGCAGATAACAATATTGTCTTTGTTTGTAAGGCTCAATACTGTAATTTAGAAGAACTTACTCAAATCTACAAGAGGTAATCCAACTTATACTCATAGTTCCCTTTCTTTCTAAGGAAGAAATTCTTCAAAATCATATGTTAATTTTGAATATCTTTAATACCCCGAAGAACCAAAAATGATTGTGAAGTACCATATGTATATTGGAGTTCGAAACTTCATAAGATTCCTTAGAAACAAAGATACATTGCGGGTTCCAGTAAATGTTCAACCAAGCCACTTTCGTTACCCCTCACTAAGATATTGACAGTAGAGAAGGAAAAACTTCAAGATTATTGTGCAACAATATATTCAAGATGTGGTGTGAATTAGATGTGGATACTAAAAAAATTCCAAAGAACTTTTGGACAATTTGAAATCACAAGATTTTACCAAAATTAACAGCTTAAAAACTTACGACTTTTCAACTTTATACACAACCATTCCCCACGATAAATTAAAGTTGAGGCTTTTTGATATCATTGACAGCTGCTTTTTCAATAAAAATTGGAACTCGTAAATTTACTTACTTGGTTTGGTTATTGGTCATTTGCAAAATTATTTTGTTTAAAAACATTCTGATTGCACACGCAGTACAGCTAAGGTGCGCAATGGAAATATCGACTAAATTTTGTATTTAAAAATGTATTCGTAATCGGGATGGCGATTATTTTATTACATTATTCATATCGGATAATTGTTATTATGATTAATAACTTCATATCGAGGACGTTTATATTTCATATTTAGACTAGTCACGTGATGCGACAGTCACGCGATTTTAGCGCATTGACTTGAAGTATTGATGTTACATATAAATATCACTAGTGCAAGGGCATAACCAAGTTAAATTTCCAAGTTTAGTATATAAATATTTTCAACACGCATTTTAGTTTCAAAAAAGTGCTGCGATCCTGTCTAAATTCTGCAATTTCATTGTTAAAATTATACTTGTATGACCGAATGCTATATTTTTTGCTGGTCAGCGGCATGAAATATTAATATAATTAAATTGTTTTTAATATTTCATCAGGATCGCAGCACTTTTCAGATACCTTAATAGTTCTATAGTTGAAATGTAAAAGCTTACTTTGATCCATAGAGTGTATGCCCTTGCACTAGATCGATTTATTAAGACCCCCACATTACCCTCCGATGTACTTACATACAAATACCCGGCAGTGTCAATTAAATACGTAATGTACAGAAAATATATTAATAAAATAGTGAAGAAGACATTAAATTCAAGTTATTGGCCCACAGAATATCTGTAAATAATATTTTATTTAATTAGAGAATACATATTTTGTTGAGAAAATATTACTTAATCTGTCTCTCACTGCATGCAAACTACGTCACGCTGTAAGAAATGACGTCATATTGACATGTGTATTGCGATCAGTGACTTGTTTATAACTTGTTATGTGGGATTTAACTAACGACAAAACAATACGCTGTAGTAAGTTTTTATGTAGTTTGATGATTTCCTACTGGTTAAATTAGCAGATAAACTCATTTTGTGGTATTTTAAAGAAATGTTGTATTACTTATATTGTGGATGATGTCATAGTCAAGTTTTCCCGTACAAATTAGGCTCCGCCTCCTTTTTGTAACCTTAACTGTGCTGCGCACACAAGTACTCTGAAGTTGACATCAAAAAGATACTTGAGATTTTGTGGTTTATGGAGACCAGGTATTCTAACAATCTACTGGAATTCCCATGGGTACCAATTCCCCTCCGTTATTGGCAGACCTATATTTGTACTCATTTGAAGCAGAATTTGTGCAAAATCTTATACGTGAAAAGAAAAAAAAACCACTTGCTGTGGCCTTCAACTCAACATTTATATACTAGTATATCGACGACATTTTGTCAACTAACAATGGTAATTTCCATTCCTATGTCGATACGATATATCATCGTGATCTTGAGATAAAAGATATCACAGAGCGTCACATATCTGTTTCATACTTGGATATTTTACTTGAAAAAGACGTTAATTGTAATCTAACAACCAAGCTTTATGATAAACGTGATGACTTTAACTTTTCTATCGTCAACTTCCCTTACTTTTGCAGCAATATACCTTCATCACCTGCATATGACATTCATATATCTCAGCTGATTTGATACGCAAGAGCATGCTATACGTAGGAACAATTTCTAAAACGAGGTAAAGTATTGACAAACAAGTTGATGAAACAAGAACATCAGCAGTCTCATTTAAAGGCATCGTTTCGTAAGGTCTTTATTCGATACAATTATCTTGCCAGCAAATACAATTTTTCATTGAATCAAATGCTGACTGATGTTTTTCATACTAATTGCAAGTCATTTATGTATACATGTACACTGAATTGACAACGGATTTTCCCTTTATTTCCCGATTACGACAAGGAGCACACGGCGGGTGTGACCGGTCAGCAGGGGATGCTCACTCCTTCATGGCACCTGATCCCACCTCTGATGTTTTAGAGGTCCATGTTCGCTCTGCTCCTATTTTGTATTGTTTTATGGACGTTGACTTTGATATTGAATACTTTTCGTTATCTCCATATCCTTTATGTACTTTGAATTAAAATAAACTCATGAGAACTTTTGCGTGGAATGACACTTATGAAGTTTGAAGTCAATTTAGGAGAAAGCTAATTGATATTAATGTAATTAATTAAAGAACAGGTAAAACTATGAGTAAGCTTAACATATTCAAAGAAATATCCGTCTAAATTCTGACCATAAATCTGATATTAATAATTGCCAAACACCATGGATATCAGGGACGGAAAGAAAAAATATCAAGCTTGAAAAATTAATAACGTCTTTCAGAACACCAAGTAAAAAATATTAAAAAAATTAATCATAAAGCCGGAAGAAAAATTATAATAAAAATGCTTTTAGTTAAACCAAAAGAATCATTTATATTAGGCTATAAGTCAATCTGTGTTGTAAACAATAAAGTAGTTAATGGTCACGTGGAAGCCTCGCTGATTTGTTATATCTTTTATCAACAATTGCAAACACTTCCCTTACACAACGCTGTTCGGGCAATGAGTTTCTACATCTTATTATTTCACGTAATTGTCGCCAAATTTCGCGAAAAGCACCACACGCGAAATAAAATTTCTCGTCTTTATTTTTTAGAAAATTGTTGAAATTTATGTAAAATTTCTTGATCACCCATCCATTCATGATTTAGTATTCTTGGGATAATAAGTATACGCGAAACATAAGGAATTCAGAGTAATTGACTGTAGAAGTAATTTCATAATAACATTATAATTGTAAAAAAATATTCAGTGCATTCAATTTTATACTGTTGAGGTTGTAGAAAATAAATCATTTTAAGGGTTTTAAACTTTTAAAAAGCAAAATTGTCCCTTTATAGAGTGCATGTTCCGAGCTACACTCTTATTTATTTCTTTTACATAAGAAAAACATTCAAGAGAAGTCGCATTTTTATCTTATGTTCGTTGAGTTGCAAAAATAGATTATTTTCTGACGTCATTTATAGCCTGTGAGTGCAAAATAATGTAAAATATTTCACATATAATTTCTTCTATAAAATGAAAATTAATTACACATATATGAATATTATTCTAGATATTGACTTTAAAGAGACCAAAATTAAGTCATCACATATCGTTCTTTGTAAAGATTGTACAAAAATGCAGTGGCAAAATGTGCCCAGGAGTGTAAAAACGTGTGTAATTTTAAAAGTCATTGTTGTGACATTGAATTAAGTTTATAATAGCAGATAAAAATCAAAAAGAAAGTTAAGCAATAAAGAGCCTCACAATTACCACCCCCCCCCCCCCCAGCAAAAAAAAAAGAAAGAAAAAGAAATAGATATCGAAAAATGAAGCTTTCTTATGCTATCTAATTTTAATGAACTTATGAAAATTTTTACGACACAAATTTTTTTTCTTTTTTGAACTTATTTTTGCCGATAAACAAGGCGGACAATCATCTACATCAAAACAGGATAACCCTAGGTTTACTCAGGCGGGTGTATCCGACACATTAGGAAGTTAAAAGTTTTTTTTTTCAACATCTGGATATTTGTGAAATTCCAAAAAGTACATTCTACTTCAACTATATCCAATCAAGGTACTGTAACATTTTAATTAAATCACAAATA